TCTTCCACCAAACTAAACACAGTGATAACTGTGTATCTGATCAAATAGGGCGGCTGCATAGGGTAATTGTTTGTGATGGTACTATAATATATTAAATTTTACTGGCCTTTCTATCATAGAGACTATACATCTCTCTCTAAGGCTCATTATCTCTCCTAATACGAGGAAAATATAATCCTTACGGAGCTTTATTCCCAATGATTCAGAACTATGTTCTAACTGAATTTAGTGCATAAATTCATTGAGATTGCAAACCCCTGTTACACTAGTTTGCATTCTGCTCTTCTGTGACAGCGCACTATGTCTCTCTGAATTTTCTCTTGCTCTGCTGCAATGTTTCTTTTGGTAGCTGACACTGATGCGCAGCAAGACCACTTCACAAAGGGCTTGGTTCCCTCCCTTGTTCTCTGTGTGCAGGAAATGAAAGTGCTAGTTGCAGTGAGATCTTTGTGGAGATTGTCAGCATAAAAAAAAGTGGAAATACTGCCCAAAAATGTCAATAAAACATTTTGTAGGGTGGGAACTAGAGACATTGCCAGTATCTACAATCCCTGTTCTAGAAGGGGATGTTTTCAGTCTCCTGTCACTTGCAGGGAAGGCAGGTTTTTATAACTTCCTCAGACTCTGTACTGTGAATTAGTCAGCATTGCTTTGCATCACTTTCAGGAGACACACACATTTTGTACTCTGGCTCAGATAATATGCATCTCACTCAAAGCACCAGCTTTGTCCAGCCATCAGTTTTCATTGCTATTATCAAATCTGACCAACCTCTCTTGGCTTTTGAAATATTAATGCTAAATTTTAATGTAGCCAGTGCTTGAATAGGAGAGCAGAAGGGGAAAAACCCTGTAGGTGCAGTTGGTGATAGTGGTGGAGTTGGAAGTACTTTTCCCTCTGAAGCACTACTCAGTGAGTCTCCTACCCGAGCAGTAGAGGTACCATCTTTTGGATGTGCCATTAAAAAGTAAGGCCCAGCAATGCCTGGTCAAAAAAGATCCTATGCCCCATTTTGCAGAAGTATGGGGTATTAGCCCTAAAATTTCAGCCAAATAACAAAATAAAGAAGAGGGTGACACTCTCATACTACAGTAATGGATATGGTGTAAAACCTGAATCCACTAGCACTGATTTGAACTGAAAATGATACACACCTATAACAAAATCGTGGCTAGAAAGAAATGAAAAGGATCTGACAGGGGCTAAGATAGACTAGAGACAGTGTTGGGTCATTTGGTTAGTGACTTATTGTGACATTCTTGGGGTGGTCAGGACTGCATTGTGTTTAACTGGGTGTCAGCTCCCTGACACTACTAGCCTGTTATTGGCATAGCCCAATCTCCTGTGGGCTATGCCTGCCCTTTACTTTTCCCTCCAGGTTAACAATAAGTGTACCTCAGTCTCCAATTCCTTTGGAGTATTCCCCTGTCATATCCAGCCTCTTCTATATTGAACACTCAAAGAATTACCAGCTCAGCTGTTCCCAAATGGACAGTATACACACCAGAATTATATCTTTGTAGAACACACAGTACTTGGATATATTTGTCATGAAAACAAGAATAAGTTTAACAAAACAGAGATGCAAAGTGAGTAAGATTATTGGTGGAAAAAATGGTTAACTATCAAATCAATACACATTTTCTAGAGACTAAACAATCTAACCTCCTGTCTAAAGCAGTCTTATCTCACACATAGCCTTTTGCAGTGTTTCCAGCTAAGGCTGGTTATGATCCCATTTTTCATTAATGTAAATGTGCCATCTATTTACTTCCTAGGTGCAGGATAACAGGGTGTTTTCCTTGTCCACCCAGCTATAGTGCAGTAAACCTTCTGAAGTGCACCCCCGATAATACTATTTTCCCCCTGCCGCTGTTCTCTTCTCGTTGAATCTCACAATTGTTCTTCTGTGTTTTGTTCCTGCTGATGATTGTGAACAAGACAATGCTCAGTGTACATTTCAACAGATAAATGGATAAATTTATTTGAGTGGATAGAAAACCAGTTTTTGCCTCTGCTGATTAGCACCTTGGTACAAACTGTAAGAACATATTTCCAGTAATATATATCCTTCCATAGTAGCAGTGCATACATTTCATGATGATATTCATAACCAGTGTGAAACCAGCTTTCCTTTGACACATTACATGACATTTTTTTGGTATACCAGAATCAGGATTTGCTTGTAACCTCCTTATCAGTTGACATTGAGAGATTTAGGGTCACATTTATCCAAGGGATTTTAATTCTTTGGAGCTTTGCTAGCCAGATTCTAAATGCTATAACTCTTCTGAACTCTGATGGACTTGTAAACTGAATAGGTCTGGCAAATTTCATCAGCACTAAATTCACTTAATGTAAAGGAAAATAAAAGTTTGTTTGTTTAAGCAGATGCTGGGTAAGGAGAAGGAGCATGGGGCTAACACTGTCACGAGGACTGCATAATTAGTTAACAGAATTGTCTAACACATTTTTAAAATACTGAAGACTAAGATCTGTTGCAAGACAAATTATATAAGATGTTTAAATATTTGTACTTCATGCTTGTTCAAAAAAAATTTGATCAGGGCTCCATTCCCTAATGACATTTTTCTGTCAAAATCAGCAGAATTTTAATTATAATTTCTGCTAAAGATGCTGCAGTGTGATCTCTGGTTGTGCATTTGATTTTGGAGGGGCTGATGGTGAATGAGTAGCACAATATCCAGTCACCTGCAGTAATACAACAAAATGTCTTGTAAACATTGACACTTCCTTCAAGGAAGGCGTGCTGATAGTTTTAACATTTTTTCTTTGAACCCATTAAGAAACTCCTTGTATGTACGTTCTAGAGCAATTGGAAATTATTTTACCTATAGTATGAAAATATCCAACAGCTGCAATGAAGTTTATTTTTTTATATACTTTCTAGAAGCACAATAATTATTTTGGTCACCTCATTGTTCATGAAACAAACAAAATCTTCCAAAACAGGATATCCTTTTGTGTGTCAAAAAGTGTTTCAAAGAGCAGATGTTCCAATGGAGCTTCAAGGAAGTGAAGCTTTGGCTGGCATGTGTCCGATTTTAGGAGTAGAGCCCAAGCTCCTGGCAATTTATACACTCTGCTTTTCTAGATATTTAGAATAGCTTAAGAGGATTTGAGGTGGTTGGATGCTTATGTTGCCTTAATGACATGCCTTGCTTTAGGGATTTTGAAGAATCTTAAAATGGAAAGGATTTAAGGAGTTTTCTTCTAAAAACCCAGGAAATTAATTTTTTTTAAAAATGTGTTAACACAATAATTAAAGCCATAAAATTGCTCATGAGACTATAGGTTCATAAATAGGTGTTTGAATGTTTGCTGGATCAGGGCCTTAAAAACCAAGGGTCAGGAACTGCAAAAGAATAGCTCCTAGAAGAGCATTACTTCTGCGTTACACATCCGGTGTAATTTTATGACATGACATAACTATACAAGATGTGCAAGGCAGCAGAGGTAATGCGGTTGGAACCCTAACTTTTGCATTTCCTGACTACTGGCGATATGGAGTACAAAGCTTGCAAGTTTTACTAAAAGGCCTTTTAAAAAATTAATATTTATTGATTTTTGGATAATTGTTTCATTGAAAAGTTTCTCCAACTGGGCCCAAAAGAATGAGCCTGGGTTTTAATTTTCTTTATTAAAATTTGTGTTTTTCTTAAAAAATTGAGAATTCACAACTTTGTGTATCAGTGCCATTCAGGCAATAGTGCTCTTGAGTTTTCCTACATTTCATTCTTTGTAATTCTCTGTCCCTGTCTGCAGCACCTGGAAACCATCTCAGGCATGGAGAATTTGACCCTCAGCTGAAGAGTCAATGGGCCCGGAAACAGATGCACACCAACTTCCCAATCAGGAAATAACAGACAGTGAGGAAAATGCAGACTCAGCATTTATCCCATTAAAGTCAGTGTTTGAAACAAAATCCCTACATATTTTCTTTTTGTCCCAAAGCAGATGCTTAAAAGTGCCCAGAGAACAGAGTCCTCAACACCTCTGATGGGAGGTTCTGTCCATAGCTTTTAGGGGTTGTGGGCAGAGGGTCTCTCCCTAGTTTGTGCAGCCTGTCAATCTAGCTCCCTGGGGTGAGGGCACATTTCCTCTTGTCCTAGCTCTTTCCGCAGCGATCATGCAAATCCCTGAGTCTGCAGTAGAAAATGTAGCGTTTCGTGTTGGCATGAATACAGCCTTATCTCCCCTAGAGCAGGGGTGTGAGATTGAAGGGGTGTGGAGGAGTTGAGTGTAGGGTGTTTGGGGAGAAATGGGGGTGTTTTGAGAAGGCTGGGGGGCTCTGTCTTGGAGTTGAGATGAGAGAGCCTGTGGGTTGCACAGAGGAGGTGGGGGGTGTACAGTGTGTGTGTAGAGGACTGAGGGATACAGGGGGCAGGGTTGGAGGATGTGGGGAGGTGGCTGGGAGTCTGGAGGGGGAGTACTGGGCTGAGGGTGGGGGGCCCGGTGGAGGTTGCAGGGGTGTCCGGGGGCGGGGTGTACAGTGTGTTGGAGCGGGGGGAGGTTATGGGGGGAGGGGTGTGTAGAGGAGGTGGGGGAGTCTGGAGGGGGAGTACTGGGCTGAGGGTGGGGGGCCCGGTGGAGGTTGCAGGGGTGTCCGGGGGCGGGGTGTACAGTGTGTTGGGGCGGGGGGGAGGTTGCAGGGGTGTCCGGGGGCGGGGTGTACAGTGTGTTGGGGCGGGGGGGAGGTTGCAGGGGTGTCTGGGGGCGGGGTGTACAATGTGTTGGGGCAGGGGAAGGGGCGTGCTGTGTAGAGGAGGTTGGGGGGTGTATATTGGGGGGGGAGGGCTGCACAGCGAAGCCGAGCTAGCCCTGCCTGCTTGTGCTCGGGGGGCCTGGCCCTCCCCCCTTGGCCGGTCCGTGGCCGGGGAGGCGGGGCCGGCTCCGCCCCGCTCCCGCCCTCTAGCCCCGCTCGGTCCCGGGGCGGCCGCTCGGCTCCGGCGGGAGATGCGGCTCCGGGAGCGCGGCGCCCGCGGCCATGGGACTGGGGCAGGCGCTGGCGGCCGCGGCCGTGTGCGCCGCGGTGCTGGGCTGCGCGGGGGCGTCCCGGCTGCTGAGCGGTGAGTGGGGGGAGCCCCGGAGGAGGGGTACGGGGGGGGCGGGGAGCCCGGAGGAGGGGAGGGGGGGGGGGGGCCCCGGAGGAGGGGTCGGGGGGAGCCCCAGGGGGGGGTTCGGGCGGGGGGCCCGCGGGAGGGATACAGGGGGAGCCCCAGGGGCGGGGTTCGGGCGGGGGGCCCCACGGGAGGGATACAGGGGGAGCCCCAGGGGCGGGGTTCGGGGGGGGGCCCGCGGGAGGGAACAGGGGGGAGCCCCAGGGGCGGGGTTCGGGCGTGGGGAGCCCCGCGGGAGGGATACAGGGGGGAGCCCCAGGGGCGGGGTTCGGGCGTGGGGAGCCCCGCGGGAGAGATACAGGGGGGAGCCCCAGGGGCGGGGTTCGGGCGTGGGGAGCCCCGCGGGAGAGATACAGGGGGGAGCCCCAGGGGCGGGGTTCGGGCGTGGGGGAGCCCCGCCGGAGGGATACAGGGGGAGCCCCAGGGGCGGGGTTCGGGCGGGGGGGTGCGGGGAGCCCCAGGGGCGGGGTTCGGGCGTGGGGAGCCCCGCGGGAGAGATACAGGGGGGAGCCCCAGGGGCGGGGTTCGGGCGGGGGGGGGGGCGCGGGGAGCCCCGGGGGAGAAATTCAGGGGGGGAGTGGGGCGGGGCGCAGGGAGCCCCGGTCCTGGGGATTGTTCCGCGGAAAGTTAGCCTGTTCCGAGTCTAGGGCGCTGAGCGTGGCCGGGACTCGCTTCCCACCGGCGGCAGCAGGGCTGCGACCCAAGCGTTGTCCGTCGCCCTGCTTGCAGATCTGGGGCTGAGCGGTCCAGGGCTCTGTGCCCTCGCTGGTGCAAGAGCGGCAGGACTGGGGCGGGGGAGCGCAGCCCCAGCTAGAGCCAGCGATTTCCCAGTTTTCAGCCAAGTGGGAAGGGAAATGCCAGCTCTGCTGCGGCGACTTTACAACTAGCGTCCAGAGCGCGGTGTGGTCCCTGCAAGGTTCTCTGCTCCGGGGGTACAGCCAGCCTGGGTCTGGGACTAGACCCGACAGTGATTCCCACCCCGGGCAGTGTTAGGTGTCAGTTATTAGGCTGTTTCCTCCTCCAGTCTCCTGGGTATCCCCCTCTATCCCCGGGGGGTTTTAAATGCCGCAGACTCACTCTTGCGGGTGATTCCCCGGTTATATTTGTCATCCCCAGATGAATTTTCAGAAGACAGTGGATTTTCTCATTTCCATCTTGCAAAATCCTTTTTTTGGGATAGAACATAAGGACAGATAATACTTAGTCCTGCCATGAGTGCAGGGGACTGGACTAGATGACTTCTCAAAGTCCCTTCCAGTCCTAATTTTCTATGACCTGAAGGTGGATAATTTTCAGACTTTCCAGAATGTGTAAGCAATGAAAATAGCATGTCATCTTTTCCCTTTTTGGGCTCTACCCTGTCTATTTTTGTGCAACGGGATGGGGACTAGTAAATTTTTGGTCTTTATTGATACATGTCTATATTGCATTATACGTGTACAGAAATTGCCATACTAGATCAGAGCAGATGTTTCAGAGAAAGTGAAAGAAACCCCACAGTGTATGGGTATAGAATGACCTGTCCATGCAGAAGTTTCTGCCTATCCCCTATAAGTAGTACATATGACCCAAAACATCAAAGTTGGTATCCCATATAAAATATTTGTTTATCCATGTAATGAAAGAGTAGTCAATATGCATATAAATACTTAATCCTTTTTTAATCCTGCTACACTCTTGGTTTCAATAATATCTTGTGGCAGTGAGTTCCAGAGATCAGTTATGAGTTGTGTGGGGAAAAAGTATTTCCTTTCATCACTTAAGTGTAATAACTTTGTTCTTGTATTATGAGTTGGTAAATAGGTACAGTTGATTTACTTTCTCTGTACCATTCATTGTTTTACATACCTCTTTAAGTGGGGGAGTCATTATTTTGGGGAGTTAATAGGTAATATTTCGTTGTGCTTCCAAAGGCCTTACGCTCAGCTCCACAGTGTTTCTCTGTCTGTCTGCCTCTCCGCAATGGGAAAACTTTTGAACTCCACATCTGCTCAATTTCAAAATTTCGGGAAATATTCTAGGCATCAGTGGTCAGAATCCTATTGTTTTGGGGAAAATCTGAAAGCCAAAAGGGGGAAAATCAGGGTACATAAAGCCCTGGCCAGCTACTCCGCACAGCCGCAAGCACCACTGCAATTATCTATAAATCTAAGAACTGGTTGATGGCACTAATTATCGCTGTGCAGCATAACAATACTCCATCTCATCTCTGCCCATCCTCCCAACAGCTTATTATGGTGACAGCCTGAATGACTTCTTTCAGAGAGAGAATAATTGGTGGTGGGGAATGAGGAATTGCAGACAGTGTCTGGCATGGGGGGAGAATGGGAGACCCTGGAACACTGGATGGAGGGATGAGGGGTCACACATGATCCTGGGTGGGGGGAGATTGGGAGACCTTGGTTTGGGGGGAAGAGGGAATGGAGGGGTGTACACAGCACCTCTTATGAGGGGAGAATGGGGGACCCTGGATACACAGAACCTCTGGGGTGGGGAATTGATGGAACCCCATGGGGTGGGGGGAATGGAAGGCATCGAGGAAGTGGGAATGGGGGTGCACACAGTCTCTGGCTAGGAGGAGAGTGAGGGTCTTGCAGAGAGTCCCTGAAAAAGAGGGCACACAGGGAGCTTGTGAGGGGAAATGAAGGAAATGCTGCAGGAATCCCTGATATGTGTAGTGAGCTGAGTGTACGCAAGCTGTGAGATGTGTGATCTCCTCCCGTATACTGGCCTGGAAATGGGGACAGAACACAGCTGTGGAGTGGAGTCTGGACCAGTGGTAGCCCCATTACCTGAATGCTTTGGCCCTGTGCCTATTGAAGTCAGTAGGCTTTGGACCAGAACCTTTGTGTGTTGTGAAAAGGTGGGGAATTTTTATCACCTTCATAAGTAAGTTTTTTTGTTTTTTTGGGGGGGGGGCGGGGGGACAGGAAAATGGAGTTTCATTCTCCATTGGCTAGAATTATGCATACAATTGTTCTCTGTTGCCTAATCAATAACATACCCTACAGTGATATCGCTGTTTGGACAGCCTGCAGTGGCGCCTGGGAAGTGAGCAAATACATTACATTTTTCCTTAGCTAAAAGAAAAGGCAAGTTTTGTTGATAAGTCACAGATGTTCTGCCGGTTCGTAAAAATACTTGCTTGGAATATCAAAAAGGAACCTTGTAGTTCGTAACTGAAGCTCTCCCTCTGCAGCTTCTGCAGATCCTCTTTGCGTTTACCACACTCCACAGCAACGGACCCTGGTCCTCAGGGCTGGTAGAGTATCGCCTCTTTTTCACCAGTGCTGCCTGTCTGTAAAACTATTAACAGAAAATACAGGGTTTACCTAAAGATACATTTTAAGTGTTGCTTTTACTGCATCCCTTGTTTTAATTTCTTTGACAAATTTTAGCAGTCACTGTAATTCCAAATATGCAAGTGAGTGGATTTAAATCTCCAAAACAGAATAGATTTAAATTCCTGTTGCATCGGTGGCCTTGAAAAAAGGTGTAGAAACACAAAAGGGCAAGCATACACCACTCTCACTTTTTTTAGTAGCATTGATTTACTATGCAGAAGTTTGTAACATTCTGTCCTTAAATCATACTTATTTATGAATACATAATAGCTGCTAAATGTTGTTTTTCTACTGTAGATTCACAAGTTGCTAAACTAAATGTATGTTGCATATTAGTTCTTACATGATAAATATTTATTTTCAAAGCTATTTTTTTCAACAATTTAAATATTGGGAATGTTAGGTTATAAAACATTCCAGTCTGTATTTTTTATAGTAAGTGTGTCTCTTCTGTTTGATCTTCACTTTCTTTGTTTTATGGTCAAAATAAGCCAGGCGGTTAGGAGAGAGCTTGGCTCATGACTGAAAACAGTCATTGTTTACTTCTTTAGAAGTCTGGAACATTATGCTCTGGAAAGCATATCCTGACTAACTGCAGTGAGTTCCATGAAGCTATTATGCACCTCCCAAGTGGTAAATAATTTTTATTTCTGGAGCTGTAAGCACATCTCTGGATATGAGTGAGTTTCTAGCCAGTTAAATTATTACAAAAGAGCATGCTTGAATCCTAGTGCAGCATCTCTCTCTCTTACAATGTTGGACATATCCGTTGGTTCTCTGGCACAACATTCTAGTGTGGGAATCTTCTCCCCCTCTGCAAGGAATTGTTGAGGTTTCTTTATTGCAGAGAACTCTTGGTGGGGCTGTTGGTCCCAGGAACTGAGAAAACAGTGCTGCAGAGGTCAGTCTGAACTAGTGTATGCAATAAGAAAAGGTTGACAGTGCTCAATAATTCCTCAGTCATATAAAAGTTAGTATTTATTTCTTTTACCTATTTGGAGTTGTTTATGTAAACTGCCACACAATGCAAAATTCAACAAGTATTAATGGTATTTGATTACTCTTTGTACTAATCATCAGCAGCTAATGCATACAGTCTCTGTAATGGGCTTATTTCTATTTCTGCAGGGCAGACAGTTTGCCGGGGTGGAACTCAGCGACCATGCTACAAAATCATTTACTTTCATGATGCTTTGCGCAGGATCAGCTTTGAAGAAGCACAGCAGGCATGCAGAAGAGATGGTGGGCATTTAGTCAGTATTGAATCAGAATCAGAACAGAGACTGATTGAAAAATTGATTGAGAGTCTCTTGGCTTCAGATGGAGATTTTTGGATAGGACTTAGAAGAAAAGAGGAAAACATGGATAATAGCACAGAATGTCAGGGCCTGTACTCATGGTCTGATGGCAGTACATCCACATTTCGGTAGGTACCTGAAGATCAAAATGTTAGAAATCTATTGTCTTAAAGTCCTGGCTAAAGTGTATATAATACAGGGTAAACTGATGTTTTGAAATGAAATTCCCTAAACTTCAGGACTCCTTTTTTCCTCCTCAATGATAGGACTTACTCTCGTTGACTGCAGCAGGAATAACTCTTATCCTTTTGAGGTAGGGTAGAACTTGAGAATTGCATTGAGTTTATCTTAAACAGAGGTAGTGAGAATCTTTGCACTACCTGATAGATCTCTTGTCTCATGGCAAGTGGAACCATAATGCTCACTGTAATTATTTCCTTATAAGATAGTGGAGAGGAGACTTCCAAGTAGTGTGAGTTTTGCAGGAGATGGTTTTGATACATTAACATCTTCCAAACATAATTGAACCAAAAATGTGTGTAGCCGCAAATCTTGCTTAGTCCTCTTTTGATTCTGATCTTAAGTCACAGTTTTCTAGGTGAACAGCAAATAATCTTAAATGAGAACTCATCCTTATGGAGTTTGTGTTTGCCTGAGGTAGAAATAGAGTAACATATACTCCAAATGCTGACCGATTTAATGAAAGTCTTCACAACAAGATGCCAACGCTACAGTGAATTTGCTGGTTCCAGTTTTGCCAAGGGTGCAGTTCCTATTGAACGTTTAATTAAAGTTATTAAAAAAAAAATCAAAGCGCGGATGCCATTCACTAATTATCCTGCACATTTTGCAACATTTACTGTGATTGAACCCATCTATTTCATTAAATAGCCCAAGTGTAATTAAATATTTTATGACAACACTTAAATATATATGGCAATGTCTTAATTTGAGCTCTTCTTACTAAGAGTTATGCACTGAAATAATCTTTTTTGGTAAGAGCTATGCTTTGGAAGCCACAGTAAGAAATAGGTACTGCTCTTCCTTCCCTACTTCTTATGATGAGTTTGTTTACAGAGTGGAGGAAAAGCAGATGTCGATCTTTTCCAGCAAGCAGAGAGGAGTGCATTGTATAACTCCTTTGCGATGGAAGAAGTGAGGTGAATAATGGAGAAAGATACTCACAATTTAGGTAACGCTGAAGCCAGATGGCAGGAAAATCAACCATTACATGCAAACGCTTGTGAGGAACTAGATTTCAGAGTAGCAGCCGTGTTAGTCTGTATTCGCAAAAAGAAAAGGAGGACTTGTGGCACCTTAGAGACTAACCAAAACTAATCACGAAAGCTTATGCTCAAATAAATTGGTTAGTCTCTAAGGTGCCACAAGTACTCCTTTTCTTTTTGTGAGGAACTACTGGCCAAGAGACAACATATAGGTCATAAGGTCTGGGCAGTGTTTGGGGGAGCTACTAAAAGGGAAAATTCTGTGCCATCTTCTGATTTGAATTTAGACCCCCAAAATAAAAATATGTATCAGCACTTAGCATTAGGAAAATGCACTTTGAAATGTAGTATATTAAATACTTTGAGGAGTAGGTTATCTGATGTGCTTATTTATTCTACCTGTTACGGACGTGCTGGGAAAAATATTGGTTGCTCATGAAGTCGGAAAGTGTCTTCTGGAGTAATGGAAAACTTGCTTAATGTGACATTTCCTTCCTCCGGAATTATCCAAGATGAGCTGGTGACCTCTGCCCCATTGTTTGAGGGTTTTGCTCCCCCCACATCACAATGGCACAATTTAAAAGTGTAGTCTGAACCTCATTTCTGGATCTCTCAGTTTGGCATGCATCCTCAACACTTAGGGAAGGGAAAGCAAAATCAGGATTTGAGATCACGCTCTTTGTGACTCTCTGCAGATAGGTAGCTTAGATAAGAACCTATAACCATTTCTTGGAGATTTGTTATCTCTTTATGTTCTAAGGACAGTTAGGGTCGTGGAACACTAATAAGATGCTCAGCCATAAGTAAGGCTGGATGAGATGCATCTGCTTTTAGTGCTGTTTGCTAGGACACTTTCGTCCAATAGTGTAATATTTTTCCCTGTGGTCCAAATACTGAGAATGTTGGTTATGGAGGTATAGGGCCAAATTCCTTGCTGTTACAAATGGGCATAGCTCAGTTGACTTCCATTGAGGGAAGCATGCCAATTAGTACCACAGGATCTGGCCAAAATTGCTCATGAATAATACTAAAAAAGGGAAAAAAATACATCCCACGTAAATTTACTATTTTTATTGGATCTGAGCTGTTTTCTTTGTAAAGAGACTCACAATTCAAAGAGCAAAATAGCATGCAGTATAAATGTATGTAGAAAGAATGTCTTGTAATGATCACAAGATTGGTTGGACATTTATCTGATAGTTTTCCTTTTGAAATATTCTGGTATAGCTAGAATTATTTATATTCTAAGGGCCAGATTTCTAGACTCAGACCTAATTGGGAGTGGTTGGGTGCTAGCTCTCTTAGAAATCAGGCCTTGTAAGCTTAAAATTAATAATCGTCTGAGTCCTAAAATGTCTGTACAGTAATTGATATATGACAGAGTGCTAAATAGTAAGGGAATATTTCCTATATTCTTCTTAGAAAGGTCCGTGCATTTTCCAGTGGTAGTGTTTTGCTATTACTGGAAAAAACATCACCTGTAAGATAGCTCCTTTTTTTTTTTTAGTACACTTCTTCCAAGAGCAAAGCAGATTTCCTTTAAGCATCTTTCATTATCTTATAAAATGGATAAATGATTGTAGGCAATGGAGTTTGAGACCAGAGAACATAGGTCATTTTCACCCTGAAAATATGTAAAGTAAGTCAGAGTTCATGAAGAGATGAAGGGGGTGAAGTGCTCAACCCTCATTGAAATCCAGTGGGAATTGGGTACCTAACTTCCTTAAGTTCCTTTGACAGCCCCGATATGAAATCCCTTATCTTCCAGTCCTGTGAGTCTTTCGAATAGGAAATGCTGTTTGTAATGTGCACAAAAGACTTAGAAACTGGGCTGAGATCAAACTTCTTTTCATTTTGTTCTAGATGGGATTCAGACCCTTTTTTTTTTTTTACTACTTACATTTATTGTCAAGAGTTTCTCCATGAGCCCCCATCTTGTGAAAATCTAAAAGACAAAAATGTGAAAATAAACTCCTGATAACTGAATTAGTGGGAGCACTTTGTGCGTCCAGCTGAGAGAGGGTACAAGTTGAATCATGTTCAGCGTTAGTTCTGCTATCACTGACGTCTGGAATCCTGTGCAATATTTCAAGTCTGAGCTTCTGCAATATCAGGGGAAATGCATTGCCTGATGTGTTTATTTTTCTAGGAATTGGTATACAGATGAGCCTTCCTGCGGGAGTGAGATCTGTGTTGTGATGTACCACCAGCCCTCTGCCCCGGCAGGTGTCGGGGGTTCCTATATGTTTCAGTGGAATGATGACAGATGCAACATGAAAAATAACTTCATTTGCAAATATTCTCTTGGTAATGAGTTACTCTGTATCACGTAAAAATGATTGTACTCTAATCCACAGGGGGGGTGTATTACTGGTCAGGTGTCACACGTCTGGCTGGTTAGAGGCAAACCATGTATCATCTGTGCTTGGGAACAATTGGTAGAAAGCAGACATGCATTTAAATGGATAAGAGTCCTGTGGACAGACGGGACACTTCCCAGATCCTCAAAGGTATTTAGGCTCCTAATTTCCACTGAAAACAATGGAAGTTAGGAACCTGATACCTTAGAGGATCTGGGCTGCTGTACTGAATGTCCCTGACTAGGTACTTTGTGAAATGTATGAATCAACTGGCTTGGAAGCTCTCCTTTTTTAAAGGTTTTTTTAAAAAGTTCAAAATCTGAAATGGGTACTAAAGGGGAGAGGGAGGATGCTGTTGTGAGGGCCAGCACCAGCTTCTTTCACTATATTTATTTGACATGGTTACCCAAGTCAAATGCATAAGGAAATTTAGTATGTGCTTCTTCCTTTTTAGAAAAACCAACTGCTGCCTCAGAAGAGAACTCCCGAAGTGGGTGAGTTACAGAAAAATGTTTGATTTGCTGACATGGTAATTTTTGGTAAAAATATTCCCAGAGGATCTTTACATTTACCTGCAGTAATTAAAATTGACCAAAGAAGTTGCCCCTCAGTTAGCATTCCCTTCTATTTATCTCAAACCCAAGGTCCAGCAACCAGGTCTGACATGGTGTTGCTGCCCAATCTGGAGGCCACCACCATGCTACAGAGCTCTGAGCAAAAGGGAATGAGATCAAAACACACCGTGTGTCTGGCAATGTCCTAAATCCCTTATCTCTGTCTCATTTTTAATTACTCTCCGGAGTTTATTCAATGTTTAACCAGTATCTGCAATATTAACAAATCACTTTCCCCCCCAGATGTTGTAACAGGGTCCTTGAAGCCAATGTTCCCAGAAGAATGCGTTAAGGAAGATGCCAATGAAACCCTTAAAGAAACCAAAGGTACACAGCACTTACAACAACTAGCCATTACCCTCTGCAGCTATGCACACCTGCTGCTTCTGCTGGCCTCAGTGTGGGTGCAAGTGCTCAGCACCTCTGAATATTGAGCCTCTTATGGTATGCCTATACAGCAAAAGCATACACAAACTAGCCTGCTTGAGCTGGCTCGAATCCAACTAGCGTGGATAACAGTAGCAGTGCAGACAGTACTGAGTGAGTTTCAACAGAGGTAATACAAGCCCCTCATGGACCCTGGGTACATACTTGGCACTGAAGCCCATGCTGCGCTGTGTTCACTGCTATTGTTACTTGCAATAGCTGTATTCAAGCCTGATCTGGTAGGCACAGCTCTTGCTGTGTAGACAAATCCTGTTCTTGGTGTCTGTGTATGAATTTAGAAGCTTAAATATAGTGTGATAAACTCAGGACAGGTTTCAGAGTAACAGCCATGTTAGTCTGTATTCGCAAAAAGAAAAGGAGTACTTGTGGCACCTTAGAGACTAACCAATTTATTTGAGCATGAGCTTTCGTGAGCTACAGTTCACTTCATCGGATGCATACCGTGGAAGCTGCAGAAGACATTATATACACACAGAGAATATGAAACAATACCTCCTCCCACCCCACTGTCCTGCTGGTAATAGCTTATCTAAAGTGATCATCAGGTTGGGCCATTTCCAGCACAAATCCAGGTTTTCTCACCCTCCACCCTCCCACACAAATTCACTCTCCTGCTGGTGATAGCCCAGCAGGAGAGTGAATTTGTGTGGGGGGGTGGAGGGTGAACCAGCAGGAGAGTGAATTTGTGTGGGGGGGTGGAGGGTGAGAAAACCTGGATTTGTGCTGGAAATGGCCCAACCTGATGATCACTTTAGATAAGCTATTACCAGCAGGACAGTGGGGTGGGAGGAGGTATTGTTTCATATTCTCTGTGTATATATAAAGTCTGCTGCAGTTTCCACGGTATGCATCCGATGAAGTGAGCTGTAGCTCACGAAAGCTCATGCTCAAATAAATTGGTTAGTCTCTAAGGTGCCACAAGTACTCCTTTTCTTTTTGCAAACTCAGGACAGACAGCTGCAAGGGCGGGGTAGAAAACAGTCCCAGAAGGGTAAAAGGTGCTCCACCCTATCAACTGAGGAGGGGTGACTACAGGTCAATCAGGTTCAGCTGAGAAGGGGTTACCAGAGGTCAGTTAGGATCAGGTGAGAGGGAGTTAACCTGAGCGCAATTAGGATCAGCTGATTCCAACTAAGGGCTGCATGAGACCTTGAGGAAGTCAAGCTGCCAGTAGGTGAGTAGCAGCAACACAGCAAGCCTCACCAGGAGGGGAGGCTGCATTCCCTCCTCTAGGGGAGAAAAACAAGCCTAAAAGACTGGCTGAGAGAAAGGAGTGGACTGCCCCTATGCAGCCAAGGGGGACTGTTTTACCCCAAGCCCATCTCGCCAAGGCTAAAAACAGCTGAGGCCTGTGAGACTGAGAAGGTGCCTTACCACAATAGGTAATGTTTTTAATAGTTTTGCTCTGAATCTTTACAACTACAAAACTAAATTGGTTGTTTTGGCTGTCAAGTGATTTAGCTGTACCAGCTAAGTCAGATGTGAAAACACTATTTTGAATTAACAGCCTTGCATTTCAATGATGCACATTTGAAATGTCAAAGATATTAAATTGTTGTTACCACACTGACTTCTTTCCTTGCATAGATAAAGGGACTTGCATAGTCCCCATGCCTTTATCTGTGTGAGGAAAGAAATCAAATGAAGATAGGGAGGAGGAAATGTACCACTCGGTCATTAAATAATTCCCACTCCAGAATTCTTATGATGGTTGTTTATAAGCCTTTCAAAAGACAACACATCTCATTAGCTTATTCCATTATTACTTTCACATGAATAGATTGAGAAAATGTCAAATAAATGTTAGGAAAGTAACATTTTTTTGTTTAGACCCTGCCATTTCTCTTATATTTTGTCAGACAGATCCTACCGAAATGCAGGTTATCCCACATCCTCATCCTGAGGAATTTATTGTACTGGCCATGATTGGAGATTGGTCCTTCTAGTCCAGTATCCACTAGTTTGATCCAGTCGGGGAATTCCTATATCCATGGAGGATGGGGAAAATTAGGGTTACTATATAGAGATCCCCAAACTAGGAGACTCAAGAGCACAGTTTGGTCTGGTCTGCTGAGCTAGAGGATTATTCTGTACTTGAAGTATTGGCACTGAGAGTGGGGTAGCTGCTAATACATTACAAATAGGGCTGAAGAAAACCTTTTATTATTATTATTTGGCAGTACTACCTTTCACAGGAATAATTTGTGCATGCAAAATAAATTTTTAAATGGATAAAAGTTGGAATTTCATATTTTTCTCCCCCAGAACCTGTTTTGAGTCTTGCCTACATCTTAATTCCCAGCATCCCTCTGCTCCTTCTCCTGATGGTCGTTACAGCCATCTTCTGTTTTTGGCTTTTTGCAAAGAGGCAAGTGGCATGATTGTGCAAAGAGTGAACCTTTGTATCTCGTCACACTGAAGAATCCTTTAGCTCCAGGGTTAATTAGTTTCAGAATTTTCAACTGAACCCCATAAAATGCACTAGAGAGAATTGGAGTATATATGTCCTGTCTAGTACATTTCTAAAGAGCAATATATGCATGTTGAAGTGACAGACATTGTGTAGAGTAAGTTTTTTAATAAACCATGTTATGCTATTTTATTAATTGTGATCAAAATCATACAGTAATTGTGGAATAGCATAAAATAAGGTGATTGATTTGAAGTGTTAGATTTATTAAAAGGGAAAAGAAGATTCAATGCAAAACTGACAGATTGGGAACTCCCCTCCAAAAGTACCAAATAGTGCTGGGTCAAATTTTCTAATGTTTTGTCCTTTTAACCTTTTGTTTTCCCAGCTCTCCTCCTCACTTTCCCATACATGCAGACAGTCTAACTCTACCATCAGCATAGCTTACCTTTAAATCATGATTAGGATTGTGTTTAAATTAAAACATTTTTAGAAACTAGGTTGAGGACTCCAAAGAAGACTCCCACTGTTTTCTCAGCTGCATCCTTGAATGAGATGACAACAGCTACTCTAGTATTGAAGTAATAACTGGTGACACAAGAGGCCTAATGTATCTAATAGTATAATTTTTACTGTAATTGTATTGACTCAGCCCCTGTCCTCGAAGAGTTGATGCCAATCAATTGTTTGATTAGAAACAGGGGTATCTAGTTCACTAGTTTGAATGTAGGGCCAAGTTGGTAGTGAATGAAAGTTGCCATCTGAGTGTTTGTTGGCGTATGTAAAATGCCATGTTCCTAATGCACAGGTGAGCTCACATGACCAAAACCAAGGTAGTTAGTACTCATGTTGGCGCCTTCAGCAGATGCTAAGGAGTGAATGAACGGTGGAGACCAAACTTCCTTTTGAGCCCCAGAGATGATCCCGGCCAGTCAGGGTAGATGGAAGTTGTCAGGATGCACGTGTGGGCACAACCTGCACCAGCACTGCCAGTGGGGCCGCTGGAACGCTGACATTGGACCCGCAATCGCGTCACTGCACCGGAAAAGACCCTGATTCAAATACCTGTCTGCTGACGCAGTGAAAAGATATTGGCTTTGGAGCAAAAGCAGAAGGGAGGAGGAGAAGGAGAAGGAGAGTGCTTGCCAAACACTAACTGGGAGATTGTTTTAAGTGTAAGGGCGGCATGATAGAAGTAGCAAAGTTGGGAGTGGGAAAGGGAGACAGAGGCGGGAGCAATAGTTTGTTTGTATAGCTCCTATTATTCATGGCTCTTAAATGGCTCTATAAACATGAATGAAGCTGCTGTTATACAAGTGTGAGATCATTTAAATGCTCTGGAGGAGGAGTACGTGGCATTCAGGCTCATTGCCAGGTCAGACCACTCGAGACTTCCTACATGTTCTCTGTTTGTTTGTTTGGAGGAATGAGAAGATGAACAATTACAGTGCAAACACTTCAGCACCCTGGCCAGCACCCAGCTGCTATAATACCTATAGGCACCAGATGGGCTAATGTGGGCCGCAGTCCTCCTGCCTGTTGGTCGGACAGGTGTGGATCCAGAATAGGATACCATTTTATGAGGGCTGCAAGCTGATTCCCCAGAGATCTCATTCTCTGTTGCTCCCCTAATTTGAAGTCAGGATTAGTATGTCGCACAAGCGTAGTACAGTAGTGAAATGCTATGGCATGACAACACCAGTAATGTTGCATTCATGTGTCCAACTACAAATAATAATTAAAGTACATGTTTCTGAATTGAGGCTATTAATGGCCATTTTCCAAAAATGCTGTCATTAGGCTTCTTGTTAAGGGAGATGCAATGTCAGACTGTGCTTATGAAAAAGAACACACAAGGAATTCAGTATCTCCTCTTCCTCACTTAAGGAAACGAGAGCACATGGAGGCGAGTCCAAAGGAGCAAGATGCCTGGATCTCCCCCCACAGGAGGAACAGTCCCAATCTGGAGATTTACAATGTAATTAAAAAACAAATGGAGGCAGATCTGGCTGGGACCAGGCCAGATATTAAGAATTCTTCCTTCCGCACCCCTTCCGGAGACCACACGTCTGACAACTTCTCCGGAGATTACGACAACGTGGCTGTGAATACTTCAGGGAGCGGTTTTGTGACATTAGCTAGTCCTGAAAGTGGCTTTGTGACCAATGAGATCTATGAGCTGTGCAGTGATCAGATGGGACAAAGCAAGGAGTCGGCCTGGGTGGAAAACGAAATATATGGATATTAAGGAAACTGGAAACACCTGGATGTGGGTGATGCAACAGATAAAAACACGAGTAGTCCCCCACGCACCATATTTAACAGTGAACACAAAAATAGTGTGTGGCCGTGCATAGTGGTTTCAGATTGCCTCTGTGCTCATTTTTTTTTTTTAAGGCTATGTTGTTTTAAACAGTTGAACACAACAGAATGTATTTAGCTTGCCTTGCTTCAAACCCCTGTTCAATACTGAGAATGATCTTTCTTGGTCTTGGTTCTTTTTTTTCTGTTGGAACTACAATATTTCCTGAGCTACAGACATGAAAATATTTCTAGATCTTTGCAACTAAAAATCAGTCCAAATTCTTTCATTTTTGTTAACTGACCTCATTCACATGGATGTTTTTAAGTTGTAAGCCGGCCATCCTTGCTTTCTCCTAACTGCACCAGAGAATGGTGGCAGGTTGGTCATTTGTTTCCATCTCAAACCATGTTTAGTTACATGGATTCCCTCACCATCTGGTTTGTAATGTTGCCAGTCAGGCACTTCATTAGGGACTGGCAGTGTAGCCCATGTGCCTTTCCCTCCTTCTTAGTCCCGCTAGCCATGCAGGGTGTCTCAGAGACTGCCCTTAAATGATCTCATTCATTTAATTTTTTTTTTTAAGAACCAGATAGCCAAAGATTTCAAAAATCTCAGCAGCTGTGTTGGTGTTGTATGGCGGATAATTTTGCCTCACTTATCCTCCAGGCAAGAGAATGGCAAAACAGTGACACAAGCAGCACCTTCTCAGTGTTGTGTAGGGGAGAAATGGCCTCAGAAGTTGCTGCAATCTGATGGGCTTCTGTGTTGGTTTTGCTATCCAGAGTTATGCTTATTTGCCCTCAGTGGCAAGTTAAACACTGGTTACATTATTATAGAGTAAATAGCCTGTTACTGACGGACGTAGATATTTTTTCCCCCTCTCATGCTCGTGAGCTGTACTGGATGCTATGAAGATTGCTACAATGGCTCCTCTGACTGCAGACTGATTACATGTTGCTAATCTCAGCATGGATGAGATTACTAAAGAAGGTGAGGATTAAAAATGTAATTTTGACGTGTCAAGTAACATATTGCTATCATCAGTTACAATAAAAGCTCTGTTGACTCATTGCCACAGGGCCATCAGCTACCCCAACGCCAGGGGAGACGTAATGTCTGGATAGGGTAGTGCATAGAACATGGATTTGCCTCTCAAATGAGAGGGACTGATGTCGGTCTGCTTTTTTTAAACTTTGTTTTTGAGAAGCTCTTCATGAAACCATATTGGATGCTGCTTGTCTCCCTGCATTTTCTGAAGGGGGTTGGAAGAATTGTGGCTTCTGTGCCTTAATTTGGTGCCTTACGAGTTCCCAGCCTTTTCCCACACTGTGAATTTTTAATTCTAATCACACCTTAGTTAACGGATTTCTTAATTCCTCCAAATAGGCTTTGTACTGGTTGTATTCCCTTTCCTTTCCCTTTCTGTACTGATTATTAGTACAAAGTTTCCCTATTCTCACATCTTCAATCATATGCTGTCCTCATGTTGAAGTTGTCCCACCAACATCTCTCTCCCAGTTAGAATATCTACTGATTCTGGATTTGTCCTCTGCCTCCTACCTAGACATAATGAAGGATCAGTTGTCACAGTTTTATGATCTTGACTTTACTTTAAAGTGTAAACTTAACATTTAATAGCCACAGGTAGCCATTTGATCCGACAGAATTTTATGTGGTCAAGGAAAGAGGGCTGCAGCCTTGACTTGAACAGTTTCATTTTAAAGTTATCTGTATGTATGGCATCTATTATTTATTAGATGCTCTCATGCCTTGTGACACTGAGACAATCCCATCTTTCCACCTCCAACTGTCTAATGACATGTTTCTTGCTCCATTATAGTCTGGCTTCATGACAGTGGCATCTTTCTCCATGATTTTCTTATCTCATTTGTTGTCCATCTCCTTTCTGTCTTCCACCAAGTGGTATCCAATCAAGAGCTTGTGCAGGAATACAGTTTTTTGACATCTGTACAACATGTCCAAAGCACTTCAGCCTTCTTTCTCAAATCATTGTTGCTACAGTCTGCTGGTCAGTCCTTTGTAACACACCCGTGATGGTTACTTCATCCCCCTAGCGAATTCCAAAAATTCTTCTCAGGCATTTCTGATGCAATGCATTAAGTTTCCTGTTATGAATTTCTAGCATCTGCCAAGTTTTAGAAGCATATAACAATGTGGGCATCCCAATGGCATTGCATAGCTTTCTCTTGGTTCTTGTGGGAATCTCCTTATTCCCCCTCAGATATTTGCCAGCCTCAGAAAGCTTCATTTGCCTTTCCAGTTCTTGCTTCCATCTCCTTATGGAATAGAGCATCAGTACTCTTTGTACTTCCAAGATGTAAAGACTCATTAATGATGCCATATTCTGCACTATCAATCACTTATGCATCATCATTGCTGACTCCTCTTTCAGTGATGTTGACTTCAGTTTTCTTTTGGCAGATTCTTAATTCTACTTTGGCAGCCTCACGTTTGACATTGGTGGTGGTAGTCTTTTTCATAGCCTCATCATTTGTGTTCAGCAGAGCAATGTCATCTGGAAAGTTGAGATGTTGCAAGTTTTCCTCTATTCCATATAATTCCTATGTCTTCCTTTTTTGCTTTTCACATTGCGTAATCTATCAGATGCAGAAGAGGACAGGTGATAAGATGCATCTCTGTCGCACCCCAGTGGTGGTATCAAACCAATTCATCTCTCCACTTCCTGTCCTTACACTGCATTTTGAACCTTCATATACAGCATCTTAGCCCGTCATACTATCTAAGAGGCTCATATTGTCACAAGATCTTCCATAGCGACTCTGAATGCAGTGAAAGCTTTGGTGAAATATCATTAAATTTAAGACTAATCTTCTCTGGTAAGCAAGCCGTTTCTTAATCATTCATCTCAAGGCAAAGATGTGGTCTAAAGCCTTTGTGGTCTTTTTGGTCTAAAGTCTGCTTGCTTAGCGTGCAGTTTTTCATCTGTGACCAGTTTGATTCTGTTCAGTCGTACACTAGACAACACACTTCTGTGTACTTAAAGCAGTGTTATTCCTCACCAGTTGTTGGTTTCCTGCTTTGGTAATTTACAGATCATATCTTTCTTCCACTTCTCTGGGCAGAATTCCCTAACCCTAAATTATTTTTAAAAGTTTATGTAATTCATGTAGTACCACTTCCTCCCCATGTGAAACATGTCAGCAGTGATCTTCTCTTGACCAGGTGTTTTGCCATTTTTAAGCTACTTAATTGCTTCCTCTATTTCTGCTTCTGAAATTTCTAGCAGAGAGATATTTAATTCTTCACTTTCTTCTACATGTGCATTGATTTGGAGTTATTGGCTGTGGTTGGCTAAGAATTTCATTAAAATGTTCTTGCCATCATTCCATTTGTTTTGCTTCCACTGTTAACAATCTTCCATCTTTGGCTCTTGTGAACCATTGTGACTCTGGAACCAGGATGATCACTGCTTGCATAGCTGGAATGGTTTCTTAGTGGCCTCTCACAGGTGTTTCTCTCGCTTTTTTTGTCAAACCATTCTCTTACCTTTCCAATACAATTTTCTTTACTTCTTTCTCTTTCTCTACAGATCCCCATTGCAGCATGTGTTTTTTGTCATGTCGTCTGTCCTTTCCTCTTTTTTTTAAGCCTTACTTTTTTAGTCAATTTCCACGTGAATGGCTGTATCTGCTCTTCTTTCCTTGATTGATCCTCTTGGTCCAAGTGAAGTTCTGGCAGCTTCCCAGCATACACCTCTAAAGCGAGTCCATTGTTGCTCTTTATCACATTCATTACTCACCATTCTTGGAATCTGTTGGAGAGCTGGATTTTAAAGTCTCTCCTGATTCCCAGATCCAACAGTTTCTTCACATCAAATTCCATTTCTTTTCTTATTAGCGTGTCTTTTTAGCTTTATTCTATTTTGGTGACAAGATGGTAGTTGCTTCCAATATCAGCGGTTGTTTTGTGTATCCAGCAGCAATGTGTTTCACTTGTTTCTCAGTAATTCAGTCATTTGACTTCTATGTTAGTTTGTGTTTCCTGTGACGAGGGAAAAGTGAACCCCAGGTGCACAGGTTATACTTATTACACAGCTAAGTAAATTTTTCACCGTTGTCCATCTGCCTCTCAGTGCCATATTTGCACATTCAGTGCTTGTATCCCAAGTTGTCATTTATATCACCCATAACCAGAATGACAACGTAAGCATGCACCTGGTTGAGTACCTTTTGCAACTTAGTGTAGAAGGCATCTGTTACATGGTCATTGGTAGATGATCAACGATAGTTCCTCCCATCAGAGATTGAAGACTGGATTCTCATTTACGCTGAAGCCCACTTACACCACCATGGCTGTATAAAGCAGCCTTAAAGTGGACATAAGTTACAGTTGCACTCGTTTTAATGCTCCTTTACATGGCTGTAGTGTAACTGAGAATCTTACCCAAGATCTCTTTCTAGTTATGCTTATGTGGCATATTGGTATACAACTAAATATGAACTAAGATGAAACCAGAATTAGCCAGTCTGATACTGAAAGCTGGGAGCATGTGAGTGACGTGAGACAATGTCATTCACTTATGGGAACAAATTCACTGTTTGTTTTAGTCCTGGGTTGGTGGGAGAGGTGTTTGCACACTCAGCTTCATATCCCTATCACTGTCTGTTTCTCTTTATTTGTAGCACATTTAATAGAGTTTCTAAGCAGCTAGGAGAAGTGCAGATACACCAAAGCCATGGAGTTGGTATGAGGGAACCTGCCAAACGTCTATGCAAGTGACCCTCCGCTGGAGTTTGTATCCAAATCCTCAATAACCCACAAGTATTTAGACTGGAGCAACAGCATGATTGTAAGGGATGTGCCGACAGCTCTGTGGTTGAATTAAGTTCATGCTTTATCGATTAGTGAATGCATTAAGATTACAATTAATTTTTTGAGCTGTTGATACATAAGTATGAGACTTTTGTTACCATGTGAAGCCTAAGACATGGGCTGTGAGATGACTGAACCTATCTTACTTAACAACTGGTATGTTTTTAAAGCTTTTGAGGCACAATACAACATTTAAGACAGCCCCCTAATCAAAGAATTGGGATTATATATTGGAAACGAAGGTGAGCATCTGGACATCTTTCTTGCCCCTTCTCTCCAGCATTTTCGCCCATTTAATCTCTTTTCTACCTGAGAGGATAATGTTTGATATCACAGATAATGTGGAAAGGAGACTGAAATAAGTGTGTGACTGGCAATTTCTTTGTACTGTACTTGTCTGGCTCCTGACTGCATGGCGAGGTGCCCAGAGTTGCCTTGAGCCACCTGAAATGAGTTTGAACACTACACACAGTCTTTCCTAGAAAGGACCAAAACCAAGATGGACAATGTGCAAACTGTGTGGATCTGCCAATGGGCGTTATTCTTTGAGAAATGGATTCCTATAACTTTGTACTTTAATACTACCGAAGAGCCCCTTGTCACACATCGAAAAGGCATTTGAGGGATTGTAGGGAGGAAGCTGTGAATCAAAAAGTGACCAAGGAAGTACTCTCCTTTCCTATGTATCTGACAACTGACACAGTTAAATCTGACTTACACCATAATGACAACAAGCTGGTTTCAGTCCTGATGCAAGTTCTGTTACACAAGTGTGAGCTGTTGACTCGAAAGCTTGTGTGTCTCACCAACAGATGTTGTCCCAATAAAAGATATTTCCTCACCCACCTTGGTAAGCCAAGAGAGAGGCATTTCCCAAACAACCTCATTTCTACCAACAAAGCTTTACCATGCTAAACCATTCAGAACTGCAAGCCTAGCTGTATCTGTTTTGGGATGCTGACAAGCTCTTGAGCAAGATGTGGTGGGGAGGAGTGGACTCAGAATCTGAACTCGGGAGAGAGCAGTACTGATGACTTTGGGTTTACTATTAACTTGATGATCATTAGAGCTTTCTAATGCCTGTGTTGTGCTTGTTTATATGCAGTCCTTTGAATGTCGGGATTACAGTAATCAAGGTTTTGTGTGCTCCACAGGAAGCTTGATATAAATCATGTGGCAAGGTTGCTGCACTGTTCAGTGCAGCAGACTGGAGCTCTGGCTTCAGATAAGAGTAAAAATGGAGATTCATATTTAACTGGATACAAAAATGAATACACTCATGGCAGGCTTCCCTTTGCTTTTGAATATTAAATGCCATTTATTTTCTGCTGGCCTTACATTTCATGGTCTGTATGATCAGAATGTGTGGTGGGGGTTTTGTTTTTTGGGTTTTTTTAAATACCTGGCTAGTCTTTATGAGCTCACAGGGGGAAGCTGGACGTTATAGCAGTGGCATACACATTTAGGAAGATGTGAGAGGAAGCTTGGGTTTGTGAGATAAGCACACTAACTGGATGCAAAAATGAGGATAATCTGTGAAATATATTAATGTTGACGCTGAAATTTGCATCATTAATATGTAAGGTTAACACCCCATTGAAATGAATTGGGGGACAGTTCACTCCTAAGCTATTGCTTCAGGCTGTCTGCAAACTCAGGCAGATAATCTTGCATTGGTTTGCATTTGGTTCACATTTGGAAAGTGTTGGACACCACCCTAAGAGCAAAAAGAAAAGGAGTACTTGTGGCACCTTAGAGACTAACCAATTTATTTGAGCATAAGCTTTTGTGAGCTACAGCTCACTTCATCGGATGAATTATTATGCTCAAATAAATTGGTTAGTCTCTAAGGTACCACAAGTATTCCTTTTCTTTTTGCGAATACAGACTAACACCCTAAGAGCGTGAGACGTTCTTTTTTCAGTGTAAGCTTGGGTTTTGGCTCACAATTTTGCAGCAAGGGCTGGATTTTGAGGTAAATTCTGTAGCTGTGGAAGGAGGAAATGTGGTCTTGACAAATAGCAGTGTGTCTTCTAAGAACCTGTTTAGAGAATGCTTGTACCTGTTTTGTCCTGCCAGTAACACTTCTGCTGTGAATATGTTCATTGGGTTGGATTCTGAAATGCATAGCTGCCTGCTGGGAGCTATTATGTCTATTCTTGTCCAAGTTTATCCAGAGAGCTGGCTGCACCGGTTTGGGATTAGACAGTTGTGATCTATCTGTTCCTGCATGCTCTGATGTCCTGTCATGGAAGGTTAACACGCTTGTTTTAATGTTCTCACGTTGAATGTGTCCAGTTCCTGAGAGATCCCACAGCATTTTGTATTGTCTACACTTACACTACTTTCAGTCTGATTCTGGAGTTGCTCCCAAATGGGGCTTGTTTCCTAAAACTGGGATTTTGCCTGAACATATCTCACTGGTCTGATGATGAACTGGGAGTGTTGAATAGCAGAGTGCAGGATACTTGGTGTCTATTTTAAAGGAGAGGAAGGATGGTCCAGTGTTTAGGATGGTATCCTGGGACTTGGGACACCTGGGTTCAGTTCCGTACTCTGTCACACTCTGACCTTGAGCATGTTACTTAGCTTCTCTGTCTCTCCATTCCCCATCTGTACAATGGGGATAATAGCACTGCCCTACCTCACAGGGGTGTTGTGAGGATAAATACATTAAAGAATATGAGATGCTCAGAAACTATGGTAATGGGGGCCAAATAATTACTTAATATTTTAATTTTCCACACAGACCTTTAGAACATCTTGGAAGCTTATTGAAGATAAGCTGTTACATAAGGATTTGGAAGAGTATTTGACTCAATATGTGGTTTGGTTGAGTAATTTTGGTGCCCAACACTGTGTACAGCAAGTGATGCTTATTTATTTGGCTCTTGTTTGTCCTTTTCAAAATTGAATTTTAAAAAAAAGGTAAATGCCATTAAGGCAAAGGCCTGCCATTCTATACCGGTGGTAATAATACCACCTCGCTCTCATACAACACTTTCCATCCATAGATTTCAGTGTAAAGTCTGCATCAGTGTCCTGCTGTCTGCCACAGGAGCTTTGCCTAATTGAGTTCCTGTCTTCTAAACACAGAAGAATCTGGACTATAGAGCAGGCAGGAAGTACCACCTACCATAATCTGCAAAGTGTTGGCCGGTGGATATAGTTAGGCTCTGGTCTAAAACAGAGCTCCAGCCTGCTCTTTTCAGTGTATCTTAGGTGAGAGCTATTTAATAGTCTGCACTTGCCAAGGGTTTCCCTGCAGCTGTTGTTGATTTCTCAGAGGAGCATTCCTAATTACAAGTCTGCACCAGTGTCCCAGGGAGAGGCTTCCTTTGGTCTTACTCCCCTGGTGAGATTCAGTAATTAAAAAAAAAAAATCCCCTTTTTTATATGTGTACGCCATGCTCTGCAGTAGATGCAATGTGCCAATCAGATGCCAGTTTCCTGGCTTGGAAGAGCTTTATCTAAAGGCATATTGGCTATAATACAGAACTGTACAAAACAAGTGGGATGAAGCAGCACAGAAGCCATTGTGTAATCACTAAAGCCAGAATACTTCAGATTAATTTCACATGATTGGGAAAACCACACCTGCTTTAAGATCTGTTGCCTCTAAGGAGCTTCTAGCCTTCAGGTCACTGATCCATCTGTTTTCTCTCCAATTAGAAATCTGGCAGGGGAGGGAGAGTGACACCATGAGTGAAACAAGTCAGGAAGAGAGGTAGATACGGACATACACTGCTCCACGGGTGAGTCTCTGGCTGTAAGAGGAACCCTGAATAACTCATGCGCTACGTTCTGCAGCCAAACAAAGCTAGCTCTGAAGCGTCTGAAATGTCAGTAGCTACTGACAGAGTTCATGAAACATTCATTTTTTTCCTGTTGCACTTAAAAAAAAAAATCATGAGATTGAAGCAAAACCAGTTTGCAGAAGCCACCAGGAAGCAAAGATGCGTCAAAGGCTTTGGCAGAAGGTGTTTATATGGTAGTGAAACAACAACAGAAGTGAGTGCAGGACGTTGCTGTGAGTTGACTCTGCCAATATAAACATTCAGGGAGCCAGCTCTGGAGCTGTATGCCACCCATCATATTCATTGCAAACAGTAAAATATTTGTAAGTTGCTATAGCTGTTTCTGTCTGTTCATAAATATTACAGGTTGGGTTGATAGAGACAGAGGGCCTGTCTTGGATACCTGGCAGTCTGGGAGAGTGCCTACCAACCAGGATTTGGTGGTCTGCCATTGACTTTAGTGGTGCAAGTTCAAGCCCCGGAGAACAATCCTTGCCAGAAAATGGCCACTACCTACCAAGGAAATGATAACCTGCCAGCTGGTTATCAGTGGGGATAATGCTAGGCAATAGTTGCTGATTGGCACTAGGAAAGGGGTATCCACTGACTGTTGCTGGCTAACTTCCTGGGATTCATTACATTAATTAGTGCATTTTAGTAAGCAGCTATATATGTGTATTCATTTTTATCCTTCAAATCTTCAAATCCTTCTGTTCTGTTTTTAGGCAGGCCATAAGCATCTTTGAGTCCTTGGAAAAACAAGAAATGAGAGCAAAAAGCTCAAGCAAAATATGCAGACTTAGGTGTGTAACCTCTTACATCCACATTTCGGTAACTAAATGAGTGCCCTTATTGTTAGATTTCAGAGTGGTAGCCATGATAGTCTGTATGAGCAAAAACAATGAGGAGTCCTTGTGGCACCTTAGAGACTAACAAATAAGCTTCTGCCCAAATAAATTTGTTAGTCTCTAAGGTGCCACAAGGACTCCTCATTGTTTTTTCTTATTGTTAGAGGCGCTGACCACCTGCAGTTCTCGCTGAAGTCAGTGAAAGTCAGCTATGCGTGTTCAACACCTCTGAAGGTCAGGCCAGGTATTTAGGTGCTGAAATATGGTTGTAAATGGTTAATTTTAGTAAACTAATTTGGAAAAGTTTTGCCTATTAAAGCTCTTGAGGTTCACTTCTTCATCTGTAATGGGACTGAATAATACTTGATCTGTGTTCTTTCTGAAATCAAAATGTTGAATATGGCGATGACAGGTATTGACAAGAACAAGTCTCCTTGAATTTGTCAACCCCTATCTGGCACTTCATCTGTGGAGGTCTTTCATGCTATTGTTGTGTGAACAAGTTAAATGTTTAAGTGCTGAAATACCCAGTGTTCCCTATTCCTTCAAGTTTGAGGCTGCTTTGAGTCTGGAAAGGTGCTTGTATCAGAGATAAACATCATCAAGGAAACTTTTTAACAGATGTGATATACATGCACTCACCTCATAGCTGCTTCTTGTAGGATAGAGGCAAAAGCTTATTATTGAAAAACATGATTTCTTGCAGTCAGGAGAGTTTGAGATCACCTTTGGGCCTTTGGAAAAGGGCAGGCACCTATGAACCTGAAAATGAAACCAGAAAAACCCTCTCACCTTTACATGTATGATTAATGAAAGTAGACAAATGTATAAATAAAATCTGCTCCAAAACATTTCATGTGGACAGAATAGCCAAGTTAAGAACTATTAGATTATAGAAGCTAGACGGGAAGGATGCATTAAATCATCCAGTTTATCTCCTAGGAGCCAATGCAAGATTGTTTCATACAGCACATTTTCTAAAGCTTTATTTCAGTCTTGTTTTAAGCATCATGAAATTGCACTTCCATTGCTTTTGGAAGGAGACTGTTCCATAGCCTAATACATTGCTCTGATAAGACTGAATATTAGGGGGAAAACATCTTTTACTTTCATCCACTCACTCCTACACATACACCGCTGTGCCACACTAAAAATGCCTCCCCATTGTTATTTCCATCCTTTAATTGTAGAGTTATGTCCTTCCCTTTAGTCAAGTTATACATATTTAGTTCTTCCTTTTTTTGAAGACATGCTCTCTGGAAATGTGGTGCCTAGAAGAGTATACAATGATGCCAGGATTGAGACATGGTTGCGTCAGGGCCTGGTGGAGGATGATTTGTTCCCTGTCCTGTGACAGGGTCTCTCCCTGTAAACAGCCCAAAACTGCATTGGCCTTTTTTTGTAACCATGTTTCATTGCAAAGAGTATGTCTATTTTGTTCTTCGGTGTCACCATTTTCAGTTGTGTAAAAGTGTGATTCAGTTGAGAAAAGCGTGTGTTATCTCAACTGTCAGAACATAGGACACGTGGACACCTCTAACCCAGCTGGCCAATTCTGTTCCTCTTTGGCTTGAGGTAGAGGCAGGAGCCCAAGTACTTTGTTATAGTTTGGGAAGGGCACATAGGTCGCCTTCTTGCTAGGAATAATTCCCCACACAGAACTTTCTCCCTGAAGTGTATATCTATCACTAT